AAAAAAAAAAAAATAACCTTTCTATTCAAAAAAACTTTTTTAAGCCTCAAAATATTGCATTTGAAATAGCAGCTTTCCTTTAGACATATGATATCTTATCTTCACAATTATCTTATATCCAATTTATCTCTTAGACCCTGAGCTTTTTTTTTTCTCAAACAACAAATAAGTGCTTGAGCTTCCAAGTACCCTGATATGATCCTTGAATCTTTTTACCACATTCAGCTCATAAACAAGCCAGTTGCATATGTTTATCTACCGCAAAGGGGCTATATTCACTAGCTAAAGGGTCATTTTAGGACATGAAATTATAGTGTTTACTTGCTAAACAATAAAACACTTCCCACTCCTTTCATTCAGCTGTCACACTGCTGACTGTATCATAAAATTAGTTTAATAATCCACACCTTAGATAAGTGGCAAATATCACCTTGCTGACTGTCATGTAAAGAACATAATTTTCTTAATCTATGAACAAGCTGGCTGAGACATTTTAAAACAAGAACAGCAATCAGTGTGCCAACCTATGCCAGGACAGCTCATTTTCATTTCTCATTATGAGTAAATGATTAATTAATAAATATATCACTACCAAATCTAATCGATTCTAAATAGCCCATTTCTGACCTTTTCTGAAAATTATATCAAAATGCCCCTATAACTTTTAGAGATGGGCTGTTAAATGACAAATTAAAGACAAAAACAGCCTTTGAAAACTGTGAATTCAAGGTATTATAAACAGGCTCCAAGTACCAGGGAATTTAATGCACATTCAAAGGACAGGTACATAGAGATCCTATGCAACAATATGTACATAGTCAAAGAGGTAGTGGCATGAATCTACAATGATCAACACAAAAGGTCAATGTTACAGAAAGGTAACTTCATATTATCTCTATAAGGCAACATTAGGGACACAGATCTAGGACAGAGATAAAAAGGACATTGGATGATTGAAGTCTCCTGAATATTCATTTGGACATGGACAGAAATATGTACCTATCATAGCATTTATCATATGAACATATTTAACAGACAGTGCATGCTGGCTACATTCAACTCAACCCCTGAGTAAAAAAATTCACACAGGGCAGATACAGGCATCAAAATATAACAGCCTTATCTGGGCTAATTTTAAGTTTGTGCCATAAAATCGTGGCTCAATTCTTTTATTTGGGTATTCATGCTCAAAAATCTGAGGCTTGTGATTTCAAATGCAAAATATATGCATCTATGAGGCCTGACATAGCCCAACCCTTTCCAGACTCCTCTCCCCTCTTCCAGTCAGCAAAATTTACCTTCTTTTCCATTCTGACTTTGACAGTGTCTGTTATCCATTGCTTCCTGAGTGCACTGTACCTATGCCTAGTCACCTCTTCAACTGGCAAGTCCAAGATATTAAACTCTTCCCAAGGATCCTTCAACTTCTTTGCCTTCAAGATAGCATGCTTCCAATGCTTTATATTGGGTGAGTCAATGGTGGGAATTGGGGACAGGTTCAGATTCAAGGGGGTCAGTCTTGAGCGACGCCTCTGCCTGAGAGTCATGAGGGGTTTTGCGGGTGGACTGCCCACTTCCATCTCATGATGGACTGGGTGGCCATCGTCCTCATGGTTGTGACAGTGGGATGATCTGTCAGTTATATTAGCATTAGCTTCATCTGAGTTGCTTTCATCAGCATCTTCATCATCATCATCATCATCACTGCAGAAAGTAAGGGGGAAGATTGTCATCTCCTCATCGGAATCAGAAACAGAATCATCTCTGGGTCTTTCAGTAGAAGCCATTCTTCTCTGCACTCACTCAAGTCTCTAATAAGAATGATGGTTTGTGTAATAATTCATCAAGCCTTTGGAGGACAAATCTGAAATGCAAAAGTATTTGTTTAAGATCTTTCTACTGATTTGATTCATAGGTCAAATCCTAAGTACATATATGCAACTGTATGTGAAGTGGCTTCCTCATGCAGACTGATATCTTATCATGCAGTTTCTTGTCTTGGCTAGAGTAAGCCATGACATAAAAATCCCCATAAGCTAATTTGACTATCTTATACACCTTAAATAAGCCTCTTACATTAGTGACAAAAATCACTGAGCACATATATAGATATATAAGCATTACAGCATCTTTAAATCAGTGACCTTTTTAATTAACAATTTTTTTTCAAAATTACCTAAATACATCTAAGCATCAAACCAAACATCTCACTGCAAGGTTGCAAATTCAACTCTGCAGTCAATGATAATGAATAAACAAGTAAATAAATGAAAAACAAGCTCAAAATACCAATACAATGCTTTCTTTACTACATACTCATCCTCTCTGTCTGGCCTCTACTAAAAGTTTTAAATACCATGTGACCTAACTAGAAAGTTCTCCAAACGTACCAACAAAATTGCATTAAAAAGCAATCTTGAAATTATAAACTCTCAAGCTAAATTGTCCTAATTAATGCCAACTAACGTTGACAATAATAAGAAACTTTAATCGTAAGGTTCAAGACCTGGATAAATTGCATAACACACACATGTATTGACGATCACACCAAAACAACACAGTAAATCCAGAGACGTGGTGACCCAGTTTTATTTTAGTAAAGACAACAGCCTTGACGCATAAATTCACTCGTGTTTCACACCTTAGCTCTTCAAAACTACTCTCAATTTCTTACCCCCTTTTCCTAACAGACTGGCAAATTAGCTTGAAGAGAGAAAAGTCCCTCTATTGCTTGATAAACAGTACACGGGCCACAGTGTTTCGTCAACAACATAGTATGCATTTAACCATTTCAACGATGACGTCACGCCAGCTTCAAGGTGACCTCTCTGATTGGCCAATGAGTAAGCCGGTGGTGACCTGAGTGTTTTCGAGCCGAAAATAAAAAGTAAAACAAACCATGGATTTTTGCTCTTTATTTTGACATTTTATTATGGCCCGATCAACATTATGAATCTTGGAATAATATTTGTCATTTTTTATCATTTTTAACGCGCCTATAGGCCTACTGATGACATGTTTGGTGTAAGTGTATCGTAGCTCGACCATTCCACTCATGTAAGAATTTATTTTGAAGAGAAAATGATAACATTATTCATAATTATTAAAAAATCAATCAACTAACAAATTTGACTCGAGTAAACATGATATATATGATACCTATGTAATATACAATTTCTTATACACTAAACAATTTAATCAGGTAGCGTGGCCGAGTGGTCTAAGGCGCTGGTTTTAGGCACCAGTCTCTCTGAGGCGTGGGTTCGAATCCCACCGCTGCCACATTTTCTTCCTTTTACTCCATGAGATTTTTTTATATTGAAAGTCTGCTAGAGAGTCGACTAATGACCCATTTAATAATACAAGATAAGGCTGTCTTTCAGCAGATCAACACCCACAAATTTCATTTTGATAGAAATTGTAAAGCAATACTAAAGAGCCGACAAGTAGTTTTCACACCTCCTAGGTGGAAAAAACGCCAAGTCTCCTAAAAAGCAACTTACACGGTTTTTCTTCTTTTATTATGGCAGATGAGGCAATGAAAAACCAATTTCACAAAGTTTCAATACTGTCTGTTTACGTCAAGAGACACGCCGGTGCCAATGTAAATGGAATGTGCAGGCGCTGCCCCAACACACGCACACACATATATCAGGGCCGTAGCCTCCGGGGGGGCAGGGGGGGCAGCTGCCCCCCCTGGGATTTAGAATTTTCCACACTGGTAGAGGGACACCCCCTCCCCCCTCGGGGGCTTTGCCCCCTCGTGTCCGCTTACTGCCCCCCCTGGCATTTTGCACAGGCTACGGCCCTGTATACAGGGTTACTACTTAATATGGAATATTATTTTTTGGCGAGTAAATTTTCTACAAAATATTCATTTTCTCTCTAACTACTTTAAATCCAAAACTGAGGTGTCACTCCATGTGTAGCCAGGTGTGTTACCTAATTACCATACAACTGTCGAAACAGTTGATGCATGCAGTTGCATGTTCTGTGGTCAGAAATGTGAGGGGTGGTCTTTTCGGCAATTTCTGCCCTTGTATAAAAACGCATGGGTTGGCCAATCTTTGAAATGTATTTAGAGAAGCAACAAAGATATCGCTCTGAAACTTGACAGGTACCTTGAAGAAGATATGGTTCGACAGCTAAGCAACGCAGCTTACTATGGGATTCTTGCTTCTGACAGCCATTGCCAGGCAATGCAACATTTATCAGGAACCGTTAGTAAAGTCCTCCAAAGAAAAGCTACAAAAGGGGCACCAACTACAATACTTCGACCAGGGTGTCCGCGTATCACACCAAGAAGACAGGATCGCCTTCTCCTCAGAGTGCGCCGTGCTGGTCGTACAAAGACAACCAGTGTCCTCAGAAAAGAGGGGCAGAAGGTCATTCAAACGCCCATTTCAAGATCCTTCGTGAACAAGAGATCACTGCAAGCCGGTTATTTTGCACGAAGGCCAGTAGGGAAACCACTGTTAACAGCAGGTCATACACAGCGACGTCTGCAATAGGCTGGGGACCACGTGCCTTTGCAGCCAAAACATTGGAATCACGTCGTTTTCAGTAATGAGGCCAGATATGGAGTTTTTAGGGTTGGTGGTCGAATCCGTGTCCGCCTACGTGTACGAGAGGCATAAAACGATGATTGTGTACTGGCTAGGGTGCAAGCAGGGGGTGTTAACGTCTCTGTTTGAAGAGCATTTTATGCCGGTGCCCAGAACCAGTTGGTTTTTCTAGGAGGCAACCTCAACCAGGGTTCCTACAGAGACATTCTACAGCAAACAATGCTTTAATTTGTAAGAGTCATCTTCAGGAACAACTTTGTGTACCAAGACGACTGCGCAACCCCACATCGAGCTCGCATAACCACTGTTTTTCTTCGAAACCAATGGGTTCAGCAACTGCCCTGGCCTGCAAACTCCTCAGATATGAACCCAATTGAAAGTCTGTGGGCGGAAGTAACTCACAGAATTAATAGCTATGGTCATCGGCCGGCAAATAGCGATGAACTGCGACAGGCAAATATCACTGCGTGGAATGATATCCCCATCCAAACTCTAAAAAACTTTTCACAAGGTATGCCATGTAGGATGAGGGCGCTGCAAGCGGCTGCTGGAGGTCATACCTGCTATTGATGACTTTTCATGATTTACTGTAATGAGTTCTTTGACTGTGTAACATATCACTGTCGGGAGGCTATCATTTTCTTTAATATCTTAGCTTAAAATTAATACTGACATCAAACTGTTGATATGGTTTTCTGGGGGTGTTCTTTTCTTTTGAATGACATCTTATGTCAGATTTGATATTATTGACCAAACTATCTAACAATAGAAGACTGGATATTTTTATCACTCAATGGCATACGTTTTTGATGAATCAAGCCAAATCTTTTTTAAATCAGCCCTCAAAAATAACAATGATAAAAAATATTCCATATTAAGTGGTAACCCTGTATATACACACGCGCGCACTCGAGCGCGGTTAATCAATTTCTATGAGACTTCTAACTCATTAAAACCTTATTCGCTCCATTGGTTTTTCTCAAGTATGTATCCGATCTTTGTTTTCACATTGGAACCATTATTTTCACCTATCATTTGAACTCCATTCGTTTTGTTAACTGTTTAGCACATGGGAATCAACGCAGACTTTCAAGTCCTTAAGATCAGGATTCACGCTGTAATAATGTTTACTGATGAGGTATTATCAAATATCCGAAATGACGGGCACCAGTTTGTTTCATCAGAGAAAAACATGAACTCGTGCTTTAACTCAGTAACGTTCTCCAAGTTTCATAAATATAAATTGAATCGGTATATAGATATTGAATCTCACACGCGACGACTACTTTAGTTCCTTAGCTAAAGACATTGCGATAGATAAGCCTGCTTTTTTTTCTTTGATTGTGTTTTAGGACACCATAAAGTGTCCGTCTTCACGATTTGTTGTGGCGATTTTGTGAACAGTTAACAAAACAGGCCGATGTTAAGGAGTTTTTCTGTCAAAACAGAAACTATAGATAAATGATCCAAAGTGAATAGTAAACTCGCACTTAAAAGCATCCAAAAATCAACAAAATATAAGAACAAAAAAGATTCATCTTTATTTTTTATTCATTGTGTTTACAAGTAAAGGATTTTACATATTTTCATCTTTAGTAATTTTTAATGGTAGAATAAAAGAGCAGCCTAATAATGTTTTCGAGAGTTAATTGCATGCCCTGTGGAGGATAACCACAGGCAATCTTGACATAAATTGGGAAGATTTAGGAATCAAAATCCCATGCGCGGTCTCTATTAAAGCAACGGTATTTTAAAACAAAACAAAATAAATAGGTTGACGAAAGTAAAAAACAGTTAAAAAAGCCCATCATAGACCCCATTCCCACAGATTTAAGACCGATCTATCGCTGTGGGGAATCTCACTAGATTACTGTCAGCGTAGCCGGCTTAAATGTCTGCCCCGCCTACTAAAAGCTGTAAGGGGGTAATTAACCGTGCGCGCTCAACTGACAGTAATTTAGCGTGAACCCCCAGGGAGTTAAGTCGATCTAGATGGATTGATCTAAATCTATAGGAATGCAGTCATAGAGTACACAGGCAAGAAGTTAAGAAAATTTGAGAGTAAACCATTTACCTACACTATAGGGTTGTTATAACTGTACGTGCTCTAAAAATAATTTATTGGCATATCAAAATTGATTAAAAAAGGGAGAATCTCATTACAACATTTACTCATTCGAAAAGTAAAGGAGCTGGGCACAGAGTATTTTAATACACGCTTACATTTATTCTGATCAACTAACATTGCATTTTCATCGGAGTTATAAATTTTGACACCAAGTCTTGTAAAGCCTACGAAAGTTAAATGCAGATTGATTTGCTTTGAAAAGTATTCTGCCGAACGCGAAAAGTATCATTTCCAACAAAATTATCTCTGAACACATGTTTTTGCATTTTTAAAAAGCTGGTGCTATCAGACTATGAAATCAGATGTAAAGACAATTTCTGGTTCTTTAACACCCAAGGTCTAGACAGTGCAACATATCCAAATGTTTGGGATATACACTGTACAATTTTAACACTTTTTACAATGAACAGCCAATACCACAGTTTAATCAACTAAATAATAATGGGGCCTCTACAATGTTGATCTGTTTGAAATCAAAGGTTTATCAGGCTGTTTTTAAGACACCGTATTGAAAAACCAAATAGCGCAACATTGAGAGGCTCCTTAAGAGAATGATTTACAGTTTCATACAACAACCACTTCCAAAGCGACAAAAGTTACGAGAAGACATCGCCAGAGGAAGAAAAAAAAATAGCCGGAGGAAAACATGTCAACCGTCAAATAAATATGAAGTAAAGAGAAACAGCGCAAACGTGTTATTTAGCGTATGCTGTTTAAAAACGATGGACAGCACTTGAATATGACTAAAATTTATGGACCATTCACCCCTCCCCTCGAAACATCTTTTACCCTCTTTTCTGACACCTCTCTTCTTTTAAATTTAAGTCAGTTTAAACAGAAGGACAATTAAATTATATTTCGTTGCAGAGAAAGAGGTTATACCGTGGAATGCCCACTATATACGTTATTATTATATGTCTCCAAACAGCCATGAGTAGCATGTGAAGATTTTTTGAAGATATTATTATGAGCTTTACAAAGAATCGACACTTGCCAGATTGGAGGAATGACACGAAATAGGAAAGCGCTTCATGACAGGGGTTTTATAAGACATAAGCTAAAATGGAAGACATTTGAGAGCACTATAATGTGAATGCTCCCTGATAGCTGGGAAAGGTTAAAGTACGCATTCTTAGTGAGGATAAAATATATGTAGAGGCGAACCATATACCGAAAGTTGTTGGCCCGCAAAAATCGCTCGATTTGTTTCCCTAACTACATGTACCATGCATTTTGACCTAGGTGAAGCGAAGGTTTTTATCTGATAATCACGTGAGTATAATGTAACAATGGCTTCTACATGTTTATGGAAATTTAAATTTCATGCAAGATGACACGATCAACGTTAAATTATAATTAGGCCTAAACACTTCATTTTCTAACATGGGATTTCAGGCCTGTAACATATGCGGTCAAGTGTATAGGGGGGGAGTTTTTTGTCAAAACAAAGCCAGCTTTGTAAATTATATCCATTGAATGACTTAAATATCCCAAATTATGAACATTTGAGCTTCCTTATTTAAAAACAGAACATTAAAATATGGAAGCTTCATATTATGTTGAGAGATGGTAATTGATATTGGTCGGCAAGACAGAAAAAAAGCTGAAAACCACTTTAAGACAAAGTGGTCGGAATGAATGAATGAACAAGGTATAAATGACACAGGACATTAAAAGAATAGTATCAGAAACATGATCAAAATCCGTATCAAGGATGCCCTACGCAATCAAATGCCCCCTATGCCTTTAAGACAACGGAAATGTTTGAGTATAATTTTACGACAGCGAAACTGCTCAGAAAGATTGACTTCCCTTCATTTTCTGCTCTTTCAACTGTTCGTCGAATGACATGGATTTTCTGAGAGTTTCAAAAATTTCTTTGAAAATTTGTTTGTATTCCGGTGGACCGTGGTCGAAGTGACAGTTGGTCGGGTCAGTCGGGTATTTCTTGAGCAAAGTATCTGTTTGAACTTCCTTCGAAGAACTGGCGTCCTTCTGGCGGACATCATCGGTTGATGAGGACTGCGTTGTCGTCGCAATGCTCACGCGTTTCGATTTTGAGTTGATCAGAGATTCATATTTTTCGACCAGAGCGTGATACTGAGCATCCAATTCGTTCAATAAAGATGGCGAAGGTGAGACGAGCGGAGTATTCCCGGTTGAGTGATCGGCTGCTAAAACGTTAAGAGATTCTTGGCTCCCGTATGCACTACCGCCATTCTGAAGTCGAACCACTTTGGCGTGAACAACATTTGTGAAGTCGCTCTCGACACGCGGTTCCAGCACTTCATGTTCAATTTCTTTGTGGAGATTCAACTCACCTTTACATCGAATGCACATTTTACCCATTCTCATTTCTAAATCCTGCAGTTCGCTTTGCAGAGCTTTCAGTTTTAGTGAATCTGCCTCCAGCTCCTTTACTCTGGCTTCAAAATTTTGGCTCTCAGCAGTGGCGGCAGAAAGTTCGTCTGCTATTTCATCGCGCTTTCTTTTTTCGATCACTTGTTGCGCGCGTAGCTTTTTTACCGTCTCTTGAAGTTCGTGTATTTCTTTTTCATACCGATTTAATGGAAGACTGTTCAAGTCATAAATATCTCCTAGGTCGTAATATCTTTTGAGTGCGTTTGATTCATTGAGACTGGGCACACTTCTAGTTTTCCGCCGCTGCTCAACGCGTTGCCGCTGCGTTTCTGCACGTCTGTAGTCGTCTACTTCCGTCTGTAGGTCGTTACATTTCTTTTCCAGAACGTCGACTGTTTCTTCAAGTCTGGAAATTTAAGTACGTTGTGAAAATACCACAGATTTTTTGGCTCATACATAGTTTTTCAGAAATCGAATTAAATCAACATAAGCCTACCCGGTATATCGTATGTTTAATTAAAGAGGAAAATTTAAATTATTGGAAACAAGGTTAGCTTAGGCCTATGTATGCAAGGGAGACTCCGTCTTACAACTTCATTGCAATTTTAGTGAAAGCGCTTTTTTTAAAAAGTGCATTTGACCACTTTTTAATGAAATAGGGGCCTACTCATTTGTCTTTAAAATAGCAGATAAAGTAGCAATAGACAAACAACGATTTCCTATTGACCTGGTAATATTTACATTTTGATAACTATTGATCTCGTTTGGATAGGACCTGACACTATTCAAATTTTTGGGTGCCACATAGTTGACCCACTGAATTCCGAAGGAAAATGTCAACAGTGCCAAATTTATATACTTTGCGTGTTCTCAACAAATGAAATAACACATAACATAACAAAAATACAATGACAGAAAAGGGAGTGAAAGTTAGATCGAGCAGACAGACAAAGAATTACAAATAAAAAAAGACAAACGATAAAAGATGAAATTTACTGTTGGATCGTCTGCTTATCGATTTTCAATTCTACGATCATTTTCTGGTTGGCGGCCTCCTGTTCCTGTGAAGTTTTATCTAAATCCTCGTAAACTTTCATCCTGGATTCATTAACCTCTCGCAGGGCGTCCAGCTGCTTCGCCAAAAACTGTAAAATCAGAAATATTTTGTATCAGTGAATAGTTCGATTCATGAATTTCAGATACATACAGCCCGTGATGTACGTATCTCTGAGAGAATAGAAAATATAAAATAGAATAGAAAACATAAATAAAATATAGGTTTGTAAGTTTGACAGTGATTATTTACTACCCCCCCCCCCCCACACTCACACACTCACAACAAATAAAGCAAAACAAAAGAAAAATAGGCAAAAAAGTGGTTAAAAATTGGGACATGATAGATTTAATTTTTTTAGTTACACAGCACTCAACAACCTGAACTTAAAATCACACGGAGAAAATAACCAAGACACAAAATATGCTTAAAAACAAATTTTGCTAGCGCGAATGTCAGTTTTCTCAATATGAGCAAAAAACTCATGAATTTACACTTGAAATGCTATATCTTTCATCCTCCCGATGGAATTGCCAACATCCATAATGCATTTGAGACAAATTTATTTTAACGTTCAGTAGCACTTATTACTGTATCGATCCCACAAAAATTCTTATCTCGCCAAGCATCCACATACTACATGTACCCCGGGTTTCAGGACATATCTGAAACCGTCAAATAAAAAAAGCACGCTGCTCTTGGTGGCTGTCTGTGCTCTGAATCACAGAGTGTCTCCTACTGTCGCTTAAAAATGTTCAAAATTCGCTCACATTCGGCCATTTATCTTGGACTCCACACAACTTTGATCACAGCACAACCTTGGACTCAGCGCAACCTTTGACACGCGGCAACATGAAAAAGTTTTACTACTACGCAGAACACTTAATTTTCACTTATGGAAATAAAACTGAATTTCCATTGAACGCTTCGTGATTGACCTGACTGAATACTGAATGTGATGAAAAAAAAAAAGAAAGAACAGGAAAAAATATGTTTGCAAATCTAGAAACTGCCAACATATGATAGTGATTCAGCGAAGCGCAAAGCCCTTCGTCAAATATCCCTAGTTATTGACTAATGTAAAAACAAGTGTCAAAATATTACAATCAATTTCAAAATATTACCACCAATTATCTGAATCGTTCTTCAGATTAGCAACATCATTAACCTAGTTGCAGCATGGCCGGCTCTAATATTCATTTGTTTAAATTCTTATAAGCAAAAGATCGATATCATCAAATTCACATTAGAAACACAGTGAGTCTGTGTGGAGAGACGACTGTGCTTGAGTTGCAGCCTTGAAACACGCTTCTAACTGTACATTAGAATAACACTGGAGTCACGGAGAATAACCATTGATTCTCAGCCACCTGAAGTCACAGACCGATGCTACTGCTTTTTGCCTTCGTGGTGAGGTCCATTAATGCTCAAATGCATAGATCTAACAAACAGGATCGATACTAACAAAGTAATGGGATTGTATCTGAAGCCTTTGAAATTGCTTCGCAGACAAATTATTTGGGGATTTCACTGACATTTTGCGCGTGGGAATCTCACAGACCGGATAATGTTACCTCTGGCAGCACTAAAGACGTAACTCTTACGGTCAATAGACCTGTGTGCTGCCTCAAAACATACGCAGTCCTGGACGAAATACTTGGGTGTAGAGAGAATAAAATACAGACACAGTGAAATATTAAATGAATCGACGATTATCTTTTACTAATTTCCTCTCCCTTCTGAAAAACATAAGCATTCCTTTTCATCCTTCGTTTCTGTAACATCCTTTCAATTTAGGAAGCGTTTTATCCGGCAAAACAGAGAGCTTCGGTTTATACTTAGACCACTGGTCGTCTGATCATCCATCATTATGACAATTCGTTTATTAGACATTTCTTATATTATATTCTTATATAGATCGTCTGTGCCTTGAATTTGTATAAATTTACACAAATGTAAGTTTATTACCTCCGCAAAGGAGGTTATGTTTTCACCCCTGTCTGTTTGTTTGTCATCAACATTACTCAAAAAGTTATGGACCAATTTTGATGACATTTTCAGGGGAGGTGGGAAATGGGTTAACTTAGAAGTGATTAGTTTTTGGTGGTGATCCGGATCAGTAATCAATCAATAACCAATAATAATAAAAATTGCTGCCTTGACGGAGGTCTGCGCTCTCGGAGTGCTTTTCTAGTTTTCATCCTGTATCTTGTGAGGTACAAGGAGTATTTTGAAGCGTTAGAATTTACACAAACCTACATTGCATCATAACCAAAGAATCCGCACTACTTGGCCAGTGAAAAACCAATGCGTTCCAAAATTAACACCCAATCTATAACACTCTAATGGCAATATAACCACCAAAACAACATTAAGAATTCCACAGTGACAGAAGTGCCCCGTTGTCCCCAAATGATACTCCCATAATGAGATATACAATGAGGCAACTGTCTATTTCAATGGAGATGTGCTTTTGTCACGACAGGAAAAAGAGTACGCTCTTCTTGCGCTATGTAGATAATGCGAGCTTGATGCATACTGTTAAAAATACGTCGGAAATCGCTTTCATTTTCATCGTGAGAAAAACTGGAGACAAAATTCAAAACAGTGACGGAAAATGCATTTCCAAATGAAAGGGAAAGTAGGCCTATATAGGGTTTTACTGTTTTTCTTTTCAATTTCCGTTTTCCTTTTAGATAGTCCATGCCTTATCCAAAATGTATATTGCATCCTTTAAAAAGAATAATATAAAACAATGGTCAAACTGCAATAATGCAGGGAATGCATGTGACCACTCTATAGGAAGCCAAATGAAGAGAAAACTTTAAAATGTATCCTTTGGACATCCCTAACTAAAACATAAAATAGAGACCTGGGTGGTAAATAACATAAAAAGCCCCGTTAGATACGAATTTGTATTTTTACCCTCTTAACTTCCGTACACGATCCTTTTATACAAACCAGACATGCAGTGGCGATTGATTGTAACACTAGCAATTACTTATGAATTCGAAGGAATCAGGATGATGTACAAGTATGATATATGCACCATCATACCATGCACTTAGTTGCAACGGCGCAGGATATGTTGAACTTCTGGGGTAAATGTACATTAACGAAGTGGTATATGCATCTATATTATCTATTAAGCATTCCACTGTTAATGTCCTTAGGATACTAGGGATGTTGAAGCTATCTCGTACCGCATAAGCGTTCAGTTCATCTCCGTTTAAAATGTGTCGTTATTAAATTTAGTTTTATGACATTGAAGGTAAGGGGCAACTGGAGCACGCGGATATATATATAAGGCGAGTTCACACCAAAACAGACTGATCCATCTCTATACGTCCCATTTTTAGAGCTTACATAGTACGTTGCAGGCCTACACAGGGCTTAGGATGCTTCCTAGGAATAGTACTTATTACTTTTGCACTAGCGCAAAGATTTTAACGATAAGATAAAAAATACCAATTTGAGTAAGTTAAGTAATTAAATGGTTTGCAATATATATTTATATATTGTCTTATAAGTCTGAAAAGGTCAAATGTCTCTATTTATACAGCAATACATGGAACCATAATGAATGAATAAATGAAAGAAAGATGGATATGGATAACTGCCACTTAACATTCTTATCGCAAACCAATCATGTTATTAGCACCATGTTATTCAGCTAATAACACAGGCTCTTACTGTTAGAAGTGACCCTAACGACCTACCGTGTTTTCCAGCTCCAGTTCATGGTTTGACTGTTGATACTGACACAGTTGACTTTCTAGATCTTTGTTACGCTCAAGTAAAGTTTTGCCAAGCTCAGCCGCCAGTTGTAAATCTGCAATAAAATCGTTCTTATAAGCAAGCAATATATATATATATATATATATATATATATATATATATATATATATATATATATATATATATATATAAAAAATGTGACTAAGCGACCGGGGAAAAGAGGGGCGTGGTCTTAAAGATCCCAGATAAATTTCCCATTATGACTCAAACCCGAGAGCGCAATCGAACAATTCAATGGAAACAATTCTCGTATAAGCGCTGTCCCAGACATGATGTTTTCCCTCTTTTTAACTACATTTTTTAATAGCTACAATAATGCATACTTATTTGGAATGTGCCACTGTTAATTAATTTATGTATGTAATCATTTTATTTTATTACGTTACTAAGATTCACACATCGATTGCCGGTTTGGATAAAAACAAGATATAAAGCACTGCAGAAATACATCAGTCTCATGTTGTTTTGAAGAAGGTTCAAATGGGATACTGAATTACTTTGGAAATGAATTTAGCCAGCCAGACTTCGGCTTCAGCTAAATGTACCCTTGAGAGTTGGGTACCATTAGACTACAGAAGCCACGGCAGGTATGCTGGCATGCCGCGCTGCGTGCTGGGTTCAACTAGAGAGATAACCAGGCGTGGTATTCTGACATGGTTCAATACTGTAAGTACATGCTGGAGTACGAGATGGATTAAGGTAGCCAAGAAACAGGTGGGGTATCTGTAAGATCAAGAATGTGACGGATTGACCAGAACCTTCACGCGAGAAGGCAATTTTAATAAGAAACTTGCCAAGTGGACCATTGGATGGATTCTGTTGCGCTAAAATACCGGGTGCAAGAAGTGGAAATGCTAATTCCACTGAAGAGATGTTAAAAGAAAACTGCTTCTTTGTAATAAGTGACACATGTAGCTAGAGTTTTCATTTTGGCTCTATCTTATAAGGCCTGTCTATCTGAAATACAAATATCTGAAACATAGGCCTGTAGTCGGCTCCCAGTAACATAACAGCATTAGTACATATTTGAAATACCAGATACGAAGCTGGAGTTTGAACGTCATCATGGCTGATCTAAAGGAAAATATCTGCCAAGTTGGCAAATGAAGAGAAATTAAAGTATTCAACCATCGATCTGACCTTGCCTCTTGCGATTAATGTCTGCAATGTGACTGGCAGATGGTGGGAAAATTCAGCACACACATACCACACACACGTAATATGTATGTAGTAGAACAATTTATATAAACCCATATGTTGACATTGTTCAGTGAATTAACTGTGTTTCTACTTTCAAATTCCATGAGACCCCTATCTTTGATGATAACGCCGAGTTGTCTACACACCAGCTCGATCTCTTCTGTATATGTTAATGTGAATAGAGTGAATCATTACTGACACACGTCTACGACTGGATCTAACCGAGGACTAAAGAAAATATCCACATACCGCTTTCATACCAAGCGTTCTCCTCTGAATCACGACTCTCTCTTTCGTAGTCCAGTTCGCTTGACATCTGCAGCATGTTTGCGTCTTTTCAGTACGCGCTGAACTGCAATCAACCTTCCTGATAACAGAGAACGACTAATAATAAACGTGGCGTGTATTCAGCATATAATCAGTATGCGGGCCGGTCGATTGCTTTATCACATTATCGTCATGTGACTTGTCATGTGATACGTTGTCAATTTCTCTTTCTCCGGCAGCATGATGCTAACCGAAAAGAAGATGTTGTTGTTTTATATATCCGAATTATAAAACCATAGCATCTATAGAGACCTTCCCTATCATACCTCGAAGATAATAACATGAAGCTAAATCCACTCCACGTCTATAAATCACCATGATTTTCTCGTGAACCACGGACTGCCTTGAGCTATCTGAGTAGGCCTACCTAGGACCCCAGTAGGCCCAGAGCAAACCTGTCACACGATAAAGTTTTGTAGCTCCAAAGGAGATTTCTTTATATTTAAATATAAACGAATGTTTAGTTATCTGAATAGTTCTAGCTAATAAATCACCCATCCCCTTGCCTGTAGGCCTAATGTTTTTCTTTTCCTCGTTTTCTCCTTTAAAATATCTTCATTTATCAGAAAGAAAGAAAGTAAATTACTAATGAATATTTTCAAATAGATGGGAAATAATAGAAGAGAATAACTTACTCTTTTTTATTTTCAATTCTTATCATAAACAGGGAGTTATAAATTAAATTGCCTTCAAGCCTTACTGATTGTGTTAGCGATGCGCCATGTGTTAGGATGAGTTAGGTGGGTAACAGTTCCCGCCTCACGGTCTTCTCCTGATTTTTTCCTAAATTAACATGAAACAAGGAGTCTGCTAACAAAGCCACAAAGAAGAAGAAATCTTGCTTCATATGAAAACCAGACATGCATCCATGACGCATTTTACAGCCATGAGGTTGCCGGGTCCATCCCTAGCTCTTCATCTGTTAGGTTAAAAAAAGTTTTCGTAAGAGTACACCTTGGCTTAGGCCACTAATCAGAAGTCTCCTGTTGACTGATCCTCTGGAAACTCTTTTTTTTAGTCTCTCTCTCTCTCTCTCTCTCTCTCTCTCTCTTTGTGTGTGTGTGTGTGTTTGTTTGCCACTGTCTTTTAGAGAAGGTACTGATAATGTCATCTTTTGACGATACATCTGATAAGGTGTACGATTCTTCCAGGCTGTAGTGTGACGGGGAGGGACGACCAGTGCTGATGCCTGGTCGCCTATATTGCTCTGTGTGATGCCGTTGAATGATTTTACAGAGTTCATTGAGTGATTCCTACGCGAGATCACCACATCCACAAAGTAACCAAGTTCTCTTTTGAGTTCTTTCTTTTTAAAAGTTGAAGCAGTGGCACCTTTCAAATGTGCAGAACAAACTTGACATGAAACACCAGTGATTGCGACCTTAGTGTACACGTCCGAGGAGTGGTCATTCTGCCCAGTTCTGTTATAAAGAAAATTCAATTCTTACTAACTATTTTTCATTACTCAATGAGTTTAGTCCACTTTCATAACGTGAAAATTGTTTATTGGTCATCGCTACAGCCAGCTTTATCAAATGTTTGTGACAACAATCAAACTGAACTTTGTAATAAAACTTAGGCCTACAGTTCTAATTTTCAAAACATTCCATCATTTTTAAGTAGTGTAGTAGGCATATATATATTCCTTTTAATCAGCTGTTCAATATTACATCGCGAAAAAATGGAGTTTATAGGTTTAACTCTTAAAGTGTAAAAATTCCTTTAAATAATAATATTGCAAAAGACGTGGATGTTAGGTTTAAACACATTGCTCAATGTGTTGTGCCTTGGACATTTTGTGTCCAAGGTTGTGCTTTCACATCTTTCACTGCACACAGTGCTGCATGGGTCACTGCACATTACTTCGCTGGTAGGCGTGACTACTGCTGAAAAGTTGGGTGTATGTAGGCTTAAGTAGTGTCAACTCTATAAGCTGTCCAGTCGTCGCTACACTAGGCCTTGGAGCAAGTTTGCCTTCACAAACTTGTCATCTCATATAACAACTATAGCCTCGCCCTGCACTGTGATTTCTCACCAATATATCCCGGGAAACGAAATCAGGACACAGGTAATGTCAGCGGTAATTCGGCCACTTCAGCCATTCGTTTTAATGTCCAAGCTTCAGCCAAAGACTACTTCGATATTACGTACTATTTTTAAAAAACGTCACATTTGTCTTAGTGCGTTTTATTTTATGGATCTGTTTCACATAAGGTCTGAGGTCAATTAGCTTACTTAGGTCCCCATCTCAAGAACGCACGGTACCCTTAACTGTATCAGTGTAACAGGAATGGTAGTCCTAGTAATGGGATATACGGGATCCTGTTTGATATAGCAGTACAGGTTAGGATTGTCAGGCTTAGTATATGCTGTATATGAGACGACTGTCACCTTAAAAAGGTAACGTGAAACTGACTACCATTTCTTTCACACGAATTAATATCATTTAGATGTAATAGTAATAGCATACTTTTTGTACAGTGTATGGATGTTAACATTCTAACGAATTTTAAAAAAATTCGCAAAGAAACATTACATCTCCAAGTAATTTTATTAGTTTTATAGTTTTTATAAACAAGCAATGGTTTTGTCCTTATTTTATTGTTCACGTTATAAGAAAATCGCCTGTGATATCAGCTGTTATTCGCGGCAGTTAGGCAGTTAGTTGTGTGTGTGTGTGTGTGTGGGTGTTTGCCACTGTCTTTTAGAGAAAGTACTGATAATGTCATCTTTTGACGATACATCTGATAAGGTATACGATTCTTCCAGGCTGTAGTGTGACGGGGAGGGACGACCAGTGCTGATGCCTGGTCGCCTATATTGTTCTGTGTAATGCCGTTGAATGATTTTACAGAGTTCATTGAGTGATTCCTACGCGAGATCACCACATCCACAAAGTAACCAAGTTCTCTTTTGAGTTCTTTCTTTTTAAAAGTTGAAGCAGTGGCACCCTTCAAATGTGCAGAACAAAATTGACATGAAACACCAGTGATTGCGTCCTTAGTGTACACGTCCGAAGAGTGTGTCTTTCTATGCAGTTCAGTAACTTTCTATTACATAGTACTTCACGGTAAGCGACCAAACATAGATACGATATTCCCCGGGTGTGGAAAGCGTGATCCAGACTGTAACCTTCATTCTATGGTTACCTTAAGCGGTCACAAGAAGGCTTTTTTAACAAGTTCAATTCATTCAACGGTGACATATCCACAGACAATGCTTTTTTTTCCCTTTCACGGCCTCCAATTTTTCATTTGATTGATTTACTTAAGATTCATTAGTAGATTTTCGTACGAACTTCCATCGCCCCATTTGCCAATGTTCGCCTAGTAGGCCTAGTCAATTGTGGACATACAAAGTTGATAGTGACGTTGGCAAAAAATGGTATACCACGTGTGACCCGACTTTTTGCCGCTGTAGAGCCTACATAACGTGACAGAGAGTCCCCCATAACAGAGAGTCCGCTTGCCATTCCTTTACACCGGTGTAATGAAATTGAGGATCCTTGTAACAGAAATCCGCCCTCCATATGATTATAATGGTTAGGGTTAGTCTGACCTAAGTGGGTCAAAATCTAGGGCGAGGCCCATCTGTGTAAATGAATGGGAGGTGGACTCTCTGTCATGGGGGACTCTCTGTCACGTTATGACACCGGCACCGACCTGAATTCGACGTCCGCTGACGTCGTCAGCCCAACGTTAGAATACCGGTGGCCCCACGACCACTGTTTGCTGTCTCTGTGTACTACCATTGATTCTAGGATAAAAATGACTAATATTCACCTTTTCCCAAATTAAGATAGTAAATAAGGTTTCGATGGGCTCAAAAGTGCGATAAACCGTGTACTATATTTCTTCTTTTGCATTCTAGAGTTCGATTGAGATACAAGTGGTTAGTCTAGGATATGGACTCATGAAATATAGCAAAATTATCCAAATATATGTTAATATATTAAAATATTCTTTTCTAAATCAGGTGCACTCCATTGACTGGCATGAAGACCCCAACGCTTTGTACCATGTGGTACAAACTATTCCATTCCACTCCCCCATTCCAGCCATTTACAATAACAAAGCGACATCTGGGAAGCGGACTACCAGGGGACTACGCACGGGAATTGGCCGCTTTGGCCAAAAGGGCCTACTCCCCGTTCGAGAATCTAGACAAATCAAAATTCCACGTGGACTTCTACTCTTCGGACTATTTGGGGCTTGGGCTTAACCAGGAACTGAACCAGGCGCATGCAGACGCCATTCTTCGGGCTGGTATGGACCACAACGTTTCCTGTGTTGTTTCTCACCCTGCCAACTCCCCGGTAAAAGATACAGAACTGGCCTTGGCTCGGTGGTTAAAAAGTGAAGCCGCTGTCCTCACCTACTCATGTGCAACCGCAAACATTGGCGTCATGGAGATCTTACTCAAAGGTAACGATCGTCCCATTTACATGGACCATTACGCCCACATGACCCTCAAGACGGCGGTGTCCGTTGCTGAGGCCTCGTCGCGATTGAAGCTGTTTCGGCACAATGACATGGACCATCTTCGTTTTAGGATAGAAAAAGCAGGGAGCGGAGTTGTCGCCGTGGATTCGATATACAGTGTTAACGGAGAAGAGGCGCCGATGGCAGAATTGGTAGAGTTGTGCCGCCGTCTGGATTGCATCCTCGTCGTTGATGAGAGCCATGCTGTTGGGGTTGTGGGAGATGCGGGCGAGGGCCTGGTAGCCCATCTAGGGCTAGAAAACGGCGTTCATGTTAGAACGGCGTCCCTAGCTAAGGCTCTATCGTGTCAAAATGGTGTTGTTGCAAGCAGCAAGGAAGTCGCGGACTGCTACAACAGCGCGACCACGTTAGCCTTATTCAGCGAGAATGTACAAACCCCCAGCGCCGTCAAAGCCAAAAAGGCGATAGAGTTAGCAATACTGGCAACCCAACAGCGGGATGACTTGCGAAATCTTTCCCAATCATTTCGGCAACAGCTTAATGAAGCCGGCTATCCAGTAACAGAAAACGCAAACCATCCGATAGTGTCTCTGGTGGTTGGTGACCTGGAAAGGGCAATGTATATACATAGCCTCCTTTGCTCCAACGGAATCTTCCCGTGGGTTTTTGGCTATCCCGCCACTCCAAGGAACGGGGCCTTGATGAGATTTGTCATCAACCAGTATGTGACGCCAGAGAAGGTAGCATACACTGTTAAAACACTGAAAGATCTTAGTAAAGACCTGAAGCCATGGACATGGGCTGGGGAACACAGAAATAAAGAGCAGAATAGAAAGCAGTTCGAACAAAGAATAATTAATTTTAATTGAAAGGGCAATTTAATTGGCAGTGCTACACTACAGTCAATACAAAATCATTCATGGAGTCCAGCCATAACTTCATACAGATGATCCCTGAGATGCAAGTTCAAGAAAAGACATTATGTAAACCAATAATTTACTCGTACACCCCCAAGGTGTCGGCTTTTTCTTTGCTTGTCTTTAAATTAACGACTATACGCACACATGCATTTTACTGATATTCATAACTTACATATGGCGTATCATAACTGTGACACATACACACAATGTATTAAAAATTATAAGGAGAAAAATTTGGACAAAGTATGATACCTTTCTATAAACTATATCTTAATTTTCATATGGGGCGATTAGGTGGTTTTGGAAACGAACATATCTACTCGTACATGTATTTCGCTTTTATCTCTATCTTTGGATGGTTTTGGCTGATGTATTATTATTTTGTTGTTGTTGTTGTTGTTGTTGATGTTTGTTGTTTTTTTGTTTTTCGATGAGGGGGGGGGAGCAATTTCGATAAGCAAATCTCACCAAAGTATCACACCAATTTAATAATTCCCACTTTTTCGAAAAAATAAATCACATGTATTATTATATGATCATCAATTCCATGCATTTCTATCTTCTCTAGACTTGCAATAAGGGGTGTCGTTTTGTCAGGTTTAATTTAACTTTGATATTCATACATATTTGAAAACATGTTATCTTTGCAAGCCATGTTAGTTTCATAATAAATAGATCCTATCTGAAGAGAGTAAACATGGTTTTGCCAATGAGCCATAACGGTTTGACCCTCCTTCAACGGTCTTTGATCACATCTCAGAAAGGGTGGAAACGTCATGCCAAATACGGAGAAACCCCTTAGTCTCCTTAGAGAAGATGGGCTGTCTTAATATCTTTTCAGAATTACGAAAGAAACATATTTCGACATATTATGTTTGCCCTTAGGTCTCCAATTGATTGCGGTAGCGGTGCAATTTATACAATCCGCACGACATTGTAGCGTCGCATCTCTATTTTCACTTGCCAGTTTCGACACAAGATTTATAAAAGGTATATAAAACAAGTTTTGTAACTGATAACAATGATATGTATTACATAAGCCAAGTTTAAAACATTTAATCTTCAGCAATTGTAAAAAATGTCTATAAAACTTCGTAACTCGAGATCAGACATGAAGGTTCGTAACGGGGAGGGATGGTGATGGGTTTTGGTTGGAGCGACCTAAATTGGAAATGAATTTTCGAAAATGCATTTGAATTTTGAAATTATGAAAACGGTAAAAGGATTAAAAGGGAAAAAAGTCACAAACGCGATTAATGTCCACCCCTTGGAGTATTCCTCACTGATTATTCGCCCCTTTTACCTTTCGTAAAACATATAAAATCCAGTCCGCCGATTCTTTGTAAATTTAATTTTGCTTTGCTTGTTTCTCTTTACTGTAGAAGTGTTACTAGTGATTTCGTTCGAGACTTCAGATGATTAAAAAAGGAAATGACATAGTACCCTTGCACCTACTTGTCGGTACTTACCTTGAACCAGTGGCGGATTTAGAGGGGGGGGTCAGGGGGTCCTGACCCCCCTTTGATTTAAAAAAAATCACACCAATGGTCCCCTTTTGATATTATAATTTTGACTAGCTAAATCAAAGTTATAAATCGTACCAAATGGCACCGTTTGCCCTTTAAAATACCAATTTTTTCGGGGTCCTTAGGAGGGCCCGGACCCCACGCCAAGGGAGGGGGGGGGGTCGGCTTTGCATCCGCGGACCCCACCCCCTTCAAATAATCCTGGATCCGCCCCTGCCTTGAACCCGCTAACATAAACTGTTTTACGGAGAGTTCCTTGAGTGATTCCTACGCGAACAGCACAGTCCTTTTTTATTTTTATTTATTTATTTATTTATTTTTATTTATTTATTTATTTATTTTTATTTATTTATTTATTTATTTTTTGCAGAGATCACCACATCCACAAAACTAACCAAGTTGAAGCGGTGACAACCTTCAAATGTGCAGAACAAAATTGATTGCAAACACCAGTGATTGCGTCATTAGTGTACACGTCCGACGAGTGACCTGCCATTCTAACCAGTTCTGTTATAGAGGTTATACAATTCTTACCAACTTTTTTCATTACTTAGTGAGTTTAGTCCACTATCATAACGTGAAAATTGTTTATTGGTCATTGCTACAGTCACCTTTATCAAAGGTGATGTGACATTTATCACACTGAAATTTTGAAATAATACTTATATCTCTAATTTTCAAAATATATCATTTTAACTAGTGTGTTAGGCCTATAGATTCATTTCAATCGGTTGTTCAATATCCCCATCGCGAAAAAATGGACATTATAGGTTTAACTCTTAAAGCATAAATTCCTGTAAATAATAACATTGCGAAAGATGTCGATGGTAAGTTTAAACACACTCATCAGTTTGTTGTGCTCTCTCATCTTTCACTGCACACAGCACTGCATGGTTTAAAAATGGCTCACTGCACATCGCTGGTAGGCGTGGCTACTGCTGAAAAGTTGGGTGTATTTCAGCTTGAGTAGTGTCAACTCTACAAGTTTCCAGTTGTTGCTATAGCAATAGTCCCTGGAGCAAGTTTGCCGTTACAAATTTGTCATCTCATAGCCTCGCCCTTCACTGTGAATTCACACCAACAGATCCCGAGCTACTAAATCAGGACACAGGTAATGTCAGCGGTAATTCGACCACCTCAACCAAAGACTACTTCGATATTATGTATTTTTAAAAAATCTTATACAGTTGTCTTAGTGCGTAGTATTTTATGGGTCTGTTTCATAGTCCTAAGTCAATTAGCTTACTTCGGTCCCCATCTCAAGAACGCACGGTACCCTTAACTGTATCAGTGTAACAGAAGTGGTAGTCCTAGTAATGGGATGTACGGGATCCTGTTTGATATATCAGTACAGGTTATGGTTTTCAGGCTCAGTATATGCTGTATATGGGACGACTGTCACCTGAAAAAGGTTACCATTTCTTTCATACAAATGAACATTAATTAGATGTAATAGTAATAGCATACTCTTTGTACAGTTTGCGGATGTTAACATTCTGACGAATTTTAAAGAATTTCGCAAATAAACATTACATCTCCAAGTAATTGTATTAATTTTATAGTTTTTATAAACAATGAATGGTTTTATCATCACTTTATTGATCGCGTTATAAGATACTCGCCTGTGATATCAACTGGTATTCAGCACATAATCAGTATGCGGCGGTGCATGTATCTGTGTCTTTCTATGCAGTTCAGTATTGTACTAAGCGACCGACCATAGATACGATATTCCCAGGTATGTGGAAAGAGTGATCCAGACCGTAACCAGACCGGTCACAATAATGCTTTCTTAACAAGTTCAATTAATTCAACGGTGACATGTCCACAGACAATGCTTTTTTCTTTTCACGCCCTCCAGTTTTTCATTTGATTGATAAATACTTTAGATTTATTGGAGGATTTCGTACGAACTTCCATCGCCCACTTGCCAATGTTGGCCTAGCAGTGACGGTCTGTGCACATACAAAGATCATAGTGCCGTTGAGATACAATTGGTAAGTCTAGGATATGGACTCATGAAATATAGCAAAATTATCCAAATATATGTTAATATATTAAAATATTCTTTTCTAAATCAGGCGCACTCCATTGGCAGCATGAAGACCCTAACGTTTGGTTCCATGTGGTACAAACTATTCCATTCCACTCCCCCATTCCAGCCATTTACAATAACAAAGCGACATCTGGGAAGCGGACTACCAGGGGACTACGCACGGGAATTGGCCGCTTTGGCCAAAAGGGCCTACTCCCCGTTCGAGAATCTAGACAAATCAAAATTCCACGTGGACTTCTACTCTTCGGACTATTTGGGGCTTGGGCTTAACCAGGAGCTGAACCAGACACATGCAGACGCCATTCTCCGTGCTGGTATGGACCACAACGTTTCCTGTGTTGTTTCTCACCCTGCCAACTCCCCGGTAAAAGATACAGAACTGGCCTTGGCTCGGTGGTTAAAAAGTGAAGCCGCTGTCGTCACCTACTCATGTGCAACCGCAAACATCGGCGTCATGGAGATCTTACTCAAAGGTAACGATCGTCCCATTTACATGGACCATTACGCCCACATGACCCTCAAGACGGCGCTGTCCGTTGCTGAGGCCTCGTCGCGATTGAAGCTGTTTCGGCACAATGACATGGACCATCTTCGTTTTCGGATAGAAAAAGCTGGGAGTGGAGTTGTCGCCGTGGATTCGATATACAGTGTTAACGGAGAAGAAGCACCGATGGCAGAATTGGTAGAGTTGTGCCGCCGTCTGGATTGCATCCTTGTCGTTGATGAGAGTCATGCTGTTGGGGTTGTTGGAGATGCGGGCGAAGGCCTGGTAGCCCATCTAGGGCTAGAAAACGGCGTTCATGTAAGAACGGCGTCCTTGTCTAAGGCTCTATCGTGTCAAAATGGTGTTGTTGCAAGCAGCAAGGAAGTCACGGACTGCTACAACAGCGCGACCACGTTAGCCTTATTCAGCGAGAATGTACAAACCCCCAGCGCTGTCAAAGTCAAAAAGGCGATAGAGTTAGCAATACTGGCAACCCAACAGCGGGATGACTTGCGAAATCTTTCCCAATCATTTCAGCAACAGCTTAAAGAAGCCGGCTATCCAGTAACAGGAAACGCAAACCATCCGATAGTGTCTCTGGTGGTTGGTGACCAGGAAAGGGCGATGTATACACATAATGTGCTTTGCTCCAACGGAATCTTCCCGATGATCTTTTTATATCCCGCCACTCCAAGGAACGAGGCCTTGATGAGATTTGTCATCAACCAGCATGTGACGCCAGAGAAGGTAGCATACACCGTTAAAACATTGAAGGACCTCAGTCAAGACCTGAAGCCATGGACATGGGCTGGGAAACAGAGAAATAAAAAGCAGAATATAGAAAACAGTTCCAACTTAGAATAAGTGATTTTAATTGAAAGGGTCATTTGACAGTGCTTCTCTGCAGTCAATATAAAATCATTAATGGACTCCAGTCATAACTTCAAATAGATGATGCCTGAGATGCGAGCTCGAGAAAGATCTTAGCTCTGTCCAGCATGTACATTATGTAAACCAACAATTTAATCGAAAACTCTCAAGCTGCAGATTTTTCTTTGTTTGTCTTCGAATGAAAGACAATGAAAAAAACAACAACTAGGAGAAATATAAACATATAAGCATAAATACTTGTGAAATTGTATGAAAAAGGCAGTCGGTGAATAAACGTTCCAAAGCTCCAGACAGTCATCGTCCTTCCCTCACTTATAACAGACGATTACACCCGCATACGTATCTTCACTTCCAAGTTATACGTTCTATTCATAACTTAAATTTGGCGTATCATGCCTTTGAGGCATACACACAAATCATTTTAAAAAATACAAAGAGCAAAAATTTAGATGACATATGAGACATTCCAAAAAACTATATTTGAATTTGCGTGGTAGGAGATTAGGTGATTTTGGAAGCAAACATATCTACTCCTATTTAGTTTTTATCTCTCACTTTGGATGGTAATGGCTGATGTATTATTGTTTTTTTTTTTTTTCTGACACGTGTAAAACACATGCACTCTAAGGATGGGTATGGTCCAAGAACGAGTAATTCAAATAATATTTTAACTATTTTTAATTCAAAACAAGTCTCTTAGAAATAATCTAATAAGGAAATGTTGAATGGTGGCTTGCAACATGAGAATGGAAAATTCCTTGTAATCACGCAAAGACAATGGAAAGAAAGCAAGTAAATGTGTGATCAGTACGGAGAAATATAAATATATAAGCATAAATACTTGTGAAATTGTATGAAAAAAGCAGTCGGTGAATAAACGTTCGAAAGCTCCAGACAGTCGTCGTCCTTCTCTCACTTATAACAGAACGATTACACCCGCATACGTATTTTCACTTCCAAGTTATACGTTCTATTCATAACTTAAATTTGGCGTATCATGCCCCTGAGGCAAACACATAAATCATTTTGAAAAATACAAAGAGCAAAAATTTGCAAAAGGTATGAGACATTCCAAAAAACTTATATTGGAAAGTGCGTGATAGGAGATTTCGGGGGTTTTTGGAAACAAACATACCAGTATTTTGTTTTTATCTCTCACTTAAACCCCCAAGTCTCCTTAAAGAAGATGGGCTGTTTTAACATCTTTTCACAATTACGAAAGAAACTTATTTCGACATATTTTGTTTGCCGTTAGATGATGCCTGAGATGCAAGTTTAGGAAAAGTCTTAGCTCTCTCCAGCATGTACATTATGTAAACCAACAATTTACTCGAAAACTTCCAGGCTGTAGGCTTTTTCTTTGCTAGTCTTCGAATTAACGATTATACGCACACACGTATTTTCACTTCCAAATTATATCTGATATTCATAACTTACATATGGCGTATCATAACTTTGACGCATACACACAATGTATTTAAAAATTTGGACAAAGTATTATACATTACCATAAACAATATTTTAATTTGCATATGGGTAATTAGGTGGTTTTGGAAACGGACATATTTACTCGCATTTCGCTTTTA